GAAGGAGTGGCTTTACAACAACTCTGTGACTGTTCTTGAATGGCCCAGCCAGAGCCCTGACTTAAACCCAATTGAGCATCTCTGGAGAGACCTGAAAATGGCTGTCCACCAACGTTTACCATCCAACCTGACAGAACTGGAGGGGATCTGCAAGGAGGAATGGCAGAGGATCCCCAAATGCAGGTGTGAAAAACTTGTTGCATCATTCCCAAAAAGACTCATGGCTGTATTAGCTCAAAAGGGTGCTTCTACTAAATACTGAGCAAAGGGTCTGAATACTTATGACCATGTGATATTTCAGTTTTTCTTTATTCTGTGTTTTTCAGTCAATATGGGGTGCTGTGTGTACATTAATGAGGAAAAAAATAAACTTAAATGATTTTAGCATACGGCTGCAATATAACAGTGAAAAATTTAAGGGGGTCTGAATACTTTCCGTACCCACTGTACAACACGTGATGCCTTCTTTGATCTGACTCCAGATCTGTCCATAGATTTTTTTTTTTTATTTATTTCAGCAGTGCTTTAGATGAGGGTCTGTCAGATTAACATCATGGGAGTCACAGGGGAGAATGACAAAGATGAAGAGGAGGAGAGAGTGAGTCTGAAGGATGGTGTGGTGCTTCCCACAGCAGAGTGATACAGTATGTGTGTTATTTTCAGGCTCAGGCATGCTATAACCTTGTTTACTGTGTGGCTGGGCCCCCAGTCTTCAATTTGGCACTGTGACATTTGCCCCGAGTTATTTTTACCAAATGAATTAGGCGCCAAAGAATGATACACTAAACATACACACACCATTTTACACACACTCTGATGTGGCCAGTCCCAGCCTCCACGGGGCGCACACACACACACACACACACACACACACACACACACACACATCAGCGCTGTCATAACATCACTTCTTCAAACCTAAACTTAGCAGAGCCCTAAAGAAAAGCCCGGTGGATGAAAGACGGGGAGCCTTGTTATTGCTGGTGTGTATAATCTGCAGAGCTCCACAGGTGACATATCAAGTAAATTAAAATGAATAGAAATGATTATTACATTGTTATTTGGTGTATTTAATGCTCACACATTCTCTTTCAAAAAATTTAAATACACTATACAGTATATGCATTTTTATGCAACATGAAGTAAAATCTGTGTGATTCTCATGGACGTGACATGGATCGTTATAACAGAGTTACATGCTCAGCTGGAGCATGTTTATATGCAACTGGTGTTTGAATGCTCAACACAGTTTGTCAGTGGTCTTCTGCCATTTATGCTTTTTGTGAAACTTCCCAGTTCATTTATTAACAAATGAAAACCATCAAGTGTTTTTGGCTGAACTGGATTAAAGGCAGTGTTTTGTTGCCTCCCATCCCACAAACCCTAAGAAACAGATTTATTAGGGCAGTGGGAAGAACAGACACCAGGTCACACAGCGGCAAACTGAAAACAAGCTCTTGTACACACCGAAACCTACAGTGACCTGATTGCATTGCTTTGTTGACAGATGCTGATCCAGTGAACGCTGGCTGCTTCGCGCATTTGTGTGTCAGATAAGAGTTTTTACAGCTTAGCTCTGATTTCTCAAAGCTCCTCTCTGGAGTGACCACGTGGTCCTGAAGCTTCAAGGTGCATCATCCTCTTTTGCTGATTGGAAAAGAATCAGTTTAGTTAAAGTTGCTAGCTGTGGTTGACGACATACACTTTGTCAAAGGTTTGTTTGCAGACTGGATTTTCTAAGGGTGTGCGTCACTATGTGATATACAAGTCACTAATTGTTTGTGTGTTGAGATGTCACAATACTAAACAGGAAAACATATTAATATAAAACATATAAAGCACTCTTGTATCCACAGTTTGATAAAACTATTTTGTATTCTTGGGTAATTTTATATTTAGACTAGGTGTTTGTTCTTTTGGCTTTAAACTCTTTACTTGACTCCAGGAGGATTCCTATATGCCTAGACGGTCTGTTTATGCATACATCTTGAAGTCATAGCAGCACATATTCCTGTGAGTTGTTCCTGAACCTAGAACAGCAAAGTAACACTACAAAGCTCTTCTCCCTCTGTAGTGACACAGGGAACTGTGTGTGTATTCTGATGCTCCATCAGCTGGACGCCACAGGGTCTACGTGTCGGGGATTACACAACATGACCCGGGCTGACACGAACATAGAAAATGCTAATGAAACCTTTTGTGGTTTTCTCTTTAGCTCTCTTATAAAAATGATGGGGGATTGCACATCTTGCACATCTTTCACACTTTGCTCTTTAGAAAGTTTTTTTTCTGCACTGCACTTACCTGAGATTCCTTGTTATTTATGATTTCTGTTCATGCGTATGAACAATTCAGGCTTCCTCTGCCTACCGACACTTTATGGTAGCTTTTCTTTCTGCACGTCTTGATTTCCTCCCTCCTCATTTTGCCTCCAGTGCCTGCATTTCTTTCTCCAAGGGAAGCCTTTTATCTGGTGTTATTTTGTGTTGCACACAACAAAAGAAGATTATCTCTTCATAATATGTGTGGTGCGCTTTGCAGTGAGTCGGCTGGAGTTGTACATGTTGGTGATAAGGGTGTGGTGATACTAATAAAATAAGTGGCTGTTTCAGGTTTTCACAGGCAGACTCAGGATGTCCGCTTTAGTTTTTGTCAGTCCTACTTGTAAGGTCATTCTACAACTCTGTATTGGCTCTGACTGTTTTTCTCAGGCTGATGTTCCCCTCAGTTGTGTCTGTGTGTGGTTTTAAACGTCTCTCCTCCCTCTTTTCCACAGGACGCAAGTTACTGGTTGCAGGTCCAGCGGCTGGAGCATGGCGACGGCGGCATCCTCGACCTGGACGACGTGCTCTGTGATGTGGCCGACGACAAAGACAGGGTGAGTGAATGGAAGAGTAGATGTGAATAATGAAGGTTTATCCTCAGAGCCCCTTGTGAGGTACATGCATCATGTCTTGATTCACTGAGACCTGTGTGAAACACTTCAGTTGTTTTGCAACAAAGTTTTCTGTTTTCCGAGAAGGAGGCGGTGCTTCCTGAAGCAAGAGAATGCCTTGTGTACCAAAGCAGCTCTTAACTGTTTCAGGGCTTTCATTAATAGCCCTGTTTGCTTTCAGTAAATGCCTTTATGTGTTTAAACTAGCCGACATATCTTTACTGCTAATCTGACCAACAAAGCAGGTCTGGGTCAGGAGATGTCGAACACTTGAGTTTTAGCTCCTACTCCAGGTAGGTACTCTCCAAGCACAACGGGAACCATGACTAACGTACATGTACGTTGACTGCAGCACCATTGTCACTTTGTAAAAACCGTGCAGTCAATAGCCATGACCAGCGGCATGGGGAGCTGCAGCCTCTGCTGAGGGTTAGTGCTCATTGTATAATTAACGTCTAAAGTAAAACCTTACCGGTGATGTAACGTCATTAACCGTTGTGAGCTTGTTGGTGATTCACCAACAGTCGGCCGTGTTACGTTACCTCAACATTCCCACTGTCGGTGCGAATGCAAACAGGAAAAGGCCTGTGATGGTGTGCAGTTCTTGGGGGGAGCTCCTCAGCGGGGTAGTCCCTAGAACAGTTTAGTCTGAAAGCACCTACAGGTGCATCTCAATAAATTAGAATATCGTGGAAAAGTTCATTTATTCAACTCAAATAGTGAAACTCGTGTATTATATACATTCAGTACACACAGACTGAAGTAGTTTAAGCTGTTAGGTCTTTTAATTGTGATGTTTTTGGCCCACATTTAACAAAAACCCACCAATCTCAATAAATTAGAATACCTCATAAGACCTATAAAAATAACATTTTTAGTGAATTGTTGGCCTTCTGGAAAGTATGTTCATTTACTGTATACATACTCAGTACTTGGTAGGGGCTCCCTTTGCTTTAATTACTGCCTCAGTTCGGTGTGGCATGGAGGTGATTAGTCTGTGGCACTGCTGAGGTGGTATGGAAGCCCAGGTTTCTTTGACAGTGGCCTTCAGCTTATCTGCATTTTTTGGTCTCTCATTTCTCATTTTCCTCTTGACAATAGCCCATAGATTCTCTATGGGGTTCAGGTCTGGTGAGTTTGCTGGCCAGTCAAGCACACCAACAAAAAGCTGGTCAGCAGAAGGAAGCATGAGGTGCTCTAAAATTTCTTGGTAAACGAGTGCAGTGACTTTGGTTTTCAAAAAACACAGTGGACCAACACCAGCAGATGACATTGCACCCCAAACCATCACAGACTGTGGAAACTTAACACTGGACTTCAA